CCTAATTGCACCATTGATGGACTCCATCGCCGCCACGGTTTTCATACTTTTAGCTTTATAATCATTAAAAAAGAGATTACACAGCTTGGATCACATTAGGAGGTATGCAATCCTCATCGTTAAAAATGATATTCTTCTTGAAATTCCATAATCCTTATGTAATAACGTAGAAAATTAAATTCCATCTAGTCTATTTTTAAACATCATGCACACATTTGATTCATGATAGAAAATAACCACACTCTATATTTATAGTGAGTAATGATAATAACAAAATAAGTCAAATACCAACTATAATCCTTTAACATGTGTGATGTACCTTCAATCTCATTATTACCTTTTGCATCAAGCATCTGGGGTATAGATCTGTCTTGCCAAATTAGCACTAGATGGACAACATTCTTACATGCTTTATAGATGGAGTTGATATATGTAGAAAAATAATTAGCTCAACTAAGGTTTCATATGGAAAACGATAGTCATGTCTTTGATGTCCCATCTAGGCAAAATCATAGAAACCTCATCTCTATCTAGAACAACTCAAACAAAATATTGAGAGTGTCTTTCATTAACGTTTGATAAATAGAGTTTCCACCAACTCTTATTAACTTAAGAGATAAAAAAAAATACTCTCATTAAATGAAAGTATGCTCTATTTTAGATTGCCTCCATCCAATCAACACTGATTATTGCTTTTTTATATTCATTTAATAGCGATCTATCAATATCAAAAACATTTATTTTTTGAAAATTGGTATTAAAAGCTGCTGGGAACAAAGGAATGGACTAAACTACTCTCTTCTCTATGCAACTTGTTCAAATTTTTACTTATAAAAAGATCAAGTAGGCCAAAAGTTAAGAATTCTCCTCTCTATACCCTATTATTACTATTCATAATTTTTTATATATCTACATAGTTACACTGCACCCTAATAAGGTTTGCTTCTCTTTATTTCTACATTAATTTAGCTATCGGAGAGTCTTCCAACCCACTAAAAGGACTTGTTTTGTAGGTATATCAAGTCATTATACTATCATCCATCATCAATTATCATCGTTACTTCAATAATAAAAAAACTCATCTCATTAGCAATTATAATTATGAGATCTATAACTTTATCGAAAATTCCATAATTTTGAAGGGACTATTGGATTTCACAAAGATTTTCCATCACACCTTATTCTTATTTGAAGGAAAGTGACTCATTGAAGGAAGTCCGTTAGTTTTCAGTTGCACATCCAAGTGATAGCCAATTTTTATTGAGTTGTAGTTATTTCTTGTAAAATTTCATACAAGTTTGTTCTTTGAGAGGCGTCAATTGTCATGATAAATTATATTTATTGAGCTCAACGAAGAAAGATTATAAAATTGATTAACTCCACATACTAGTTCCTTTTTTTTATTAAGAAGTTACTCATCATAGCATTCCACTGGAATATCTTAAATAGTGATAAACTTAAAATTTATTTATTTTTTTAAATCCCATTACTATCATTCACGATCTTTTATACACCTATACCATAATCAAGTTTACTTTTCTCTCGTATGCTAATTTAGTTTTCGAATGGTTCTTTAACCCGTCAAAAGGACTTGTTTTGTAGGTATGTCAAGCCATTAGATCATCGGCTATCGTCAATCATCATCATTACTTAAATCATAACCAAAGTCACATCATCACCAATTATAATTTTAAGATCTATAATCTCATAAGAAGATACATATTTTTGAAGTGTCTACAAGATTCCACAAGGCTTTTCCATCGCGTCTCATTCTCGTTTGAAGGAAAGTGCCTTGTTGAAGGAAGTCCTAGTAAAATTTCATACAAATCTGTCCTTTGAAAGAGGCTAATTGTCATGATAGATTATATTTGTTAAGCCGAACGAAGAAGGAATATGAAACTAACTCCACATACCAATTCCTCTCTTGTGCATTAACAAGTTAACTCATCATGTCATCCTAATTAAGATCTTAAATGATGATAAACTCGAATTTTATTTTCAAAACTACGCCACTTATCCTTCTATATTTGAACACTCTCCCCATTCATGGCCTCCCACCTTATCCCATGATCCATAAGTGATCTCTCATCAATGGTATTGCACTAGGTATGGTTTGGTTTATTATCGATAAAAACATGTATAAAATTAGCTTTTGGAAAGTATCAAGCTTTCAATGTTTTACCTAGAAAAGACATTAGTTGTTGAATAACTTGCTAGCCCTATTTTACTGATAGAGATTTTGATCAAAAGACTGTAATTTCCGAATCGCATGCCCCCCTCTCGTTTGGCTTTACTCATTTGATTTCAAGAACGCAGTAGATCTTCTTCTCATCTCCTTTTGATCCCCGCAAAGAACCACTATTTAATTTGTGCAGCTCATTCTATATACCTTGAAGGATACTAAAACAACTGATCATAATATATGTGGAAATAGCTTCCTCGTTTCACTGATTTAATCACAACTTCTCAAAACTATAAAAATTCAACTAAAATTCATTTCTCATTATCAAAAAACACTTCTTCTAGACCACACTTATATTCTATATTTAATGTCCATTATATCGTACATTTCATATATACACACGTGGAGTTCATAATAGGTTATCACAAGATGGGATTTCACTTCGCAATATATTTTCAAAATATTGGATATTTTTTTCTCCTTTAAAAGTTTTGTTCTCTTCTTCTTCTTCTTCTTCTTTTTTTTTTTTTTTCAATAAACATGACCCTGTTCTATCAATTTCAATAGTAATAACCATACTTCTTTTGTTATTGGTAATAAACAGACAAACGATATATCTTTTTTTTTTATCAATGATGATTATAAAAAAAGAAAAGGAAAAAAAGATCGATAGTCTTATTCAAAAAGCAAAATCCGTAATTGATATTATTCATGCATAAGCTCGGTTCAACATCCATATATTTATATATTTTGTGGCCCAAAATGACAACACAGGCAAGGCCGGAAGGGGAGGGCAACTTTTAACCTGCATGTCCAGAAAGCACCGAAGCATTTGATACAGACTTGCTTTACAAGAGGCCCCAAATATTTTCTACTTTGCTCATAGGACTCGTAAGTATGTCCAAAGGCCAGAAACATTTTAGCCCAGTTTCATGCAGAAAGAAGGGCTTTGGTATTTTTCTTGATAGTTTTGGCAAGACTTCCAGTTGGAACGTTCTACTGCCATTCATATATTTCAAGAAGCGTTGTATCCTATTTCACATTATTTATAAATATAGTTTTCTTGATATTTTGGAAAAGGAAGAGACCCAGTGACATGAAGCCAGTAAAACGAAGAATCAAAGGGATTGATCCGCACCAGGTTCGGCAACATAGACCCAAGGAGAAGGACAAAAGCCCAGCTCAAAAGGCAACAGAGTTACAGTCTACAGACCATGAGAGGAAGACACGGCGGCCAGCGAATCAAAACGCCATCAGAGATTATGATGATAGGTAATTATATGGCAGCTACGATGATTGCTTTGGAAGCGACAGTGTTGGTATGGTTAGATCATGGTCGAGATTGCATAATTCATGACATGCCAGTAACGATGAAAAGAATAGTTCCTGCACCGAATAAAAGAACAATATCACATGCAATTCCCATCCTTTTGACAAGAAAAAGCTAATCATTTAATTTTTCATGACCCACACACTAATTTTTTAATAAAATAAATTACATTAATCCCTTTCATACTTGGTGCAATGTCGGTGTGTTGTGATATAATTATGGCGACTTGTCATTTTTACTTTTTGTCATATCTAGAAAGTCAAGTAATTAAGGTTTCGTTTATATAAGGCAAAGACGATAATCATTTTCCTTTTTTTTTTTTTTTTTCGTCATTCACTTATATATCTCAAGTTTTGAACATAAAACTTTAATGTGAAAAAATTGAATGATTAACAATATAATACATTTGACTCAAAAGAATTGATTTGAGTAGGAAAAATTATAATCGTTTAAATAAATAATTTTATTTTTAAATTTTTATATATGTATTAAAATTTTTAAATAATTATGTTAATTCTTTGCATCAGATCGAATAATGAGAGATTAATTTAAATTTTTTAATCTAAAATATCCTGAGAATCTAAAAAATTAATATAACACGCATGATGCAAAAGCTGTATGTTTAAGTATCCTCATGATCCGATTTTTTTTTCCGAGATAAATAGAAAAAAAATTGGTTATAGATTACTTTTATGCACACTCATTCGACTAATTGCAATGGACAGAAAATATATATGTTTACAGTGCCCACTTTAATGAGAGCATATATATATATATATATTCGCATTTCTTAAAGCTTTTCTACCGTAGACAGAAAATATGTTTACATTATGGAAGACAAAGAGAATCCATTTTTTTCATCCCTTAGATACTACCTATGAGTCTTTAGTCAGCAATATTCTACTACAAATCGAAGGGAGAGATCAGAGCAAAGGTCTCGAATCTGATCTAGTAATTCTTTCCATTTTTTTCTAAAAGGGAAACAAAACGAATATTATCCCTCTATGTGTCATGTAGCTCTACCTAAGTACATAACCACACTAACCAGATAAAACTTAAGCACGGTATTCATAATTATATGATCGATCATCAGTTCAGCTCATTCCTGATATGGTGTTAAAAAATATTTTGCATAATTTATAAGTAATTAAATATGATATATTTCATAGGTATATGGAAAAACTTGTAATTAACCATAATCATGTCTTTGTACAATTGCATTCAAGAAGTAAATATGGCAACTATACATGCAGATCTGTGATCTCCTAACAAATCCTTTTAGAACTATCTATTACACTCAATCCCACAAAGGAAAAATCCAGATCCATTTTTTTTCTCTTTTTGGGTGATAATAGATCCATATTTTGATATTTCTTCTTGGAGAGCCCAAGCTAAAAGTGCACCTCTTCTCTTCATAAGTAGAATGTACACTCTCTGATCTCTTCTCCATCTTCTGTTAGTGGCCTGAATTGCATATGGGTCATTAATTTACACAGCACAACCCAAGCCTCTAGCTTCTGCCTCTTTCATGATTCTTAGCCTCTTGCATGAATTGATGAACATGCTGTATTCAAGGGAAAAAAATTATTATAAGTTAAACTAAACTATCACTTTTGCAGTTAATAAGGAAATTGCAATTTAAGAGGAACAAACACGAAAAGAACTTACTCCCATGGAACATCTCCGACCAACATCCAATCTCCATCTTTGTCTTCATATGTTGGTACATGTTCTGATCCATTATAGCCTTCCCTCTCAGAATACTTACCTGAAAAAAATAATATTTATGTATTTAATTTTAAATTCACACATATACATAGTTCCCATATTAAATTAACTTCTCTACAATGTTGTGTAGTTAATTTACAGAAGAAAAAAAACGATACTTACCAACTTTGAATTTGAACATCTCTTCTAGGGCCTTGAGGAGCTCTGGATATCCTTTGTAGACCTTCAAATCAATCTTTCTGAGATAAGGAGCACCATCCATGCTAACTTTCACGTAAAGTCCAGCAGCTTCAGCCTCTAGTTTCTTTGCTTGTAGACAGTTTTTCCTGTAAGATCTGATTGGTGGCCACCCTACCACTTGATCCCTTTAAAATTAGATAAATCCACCTCATAATTAGTTCATGTTCAAAACCATGCATGCATAGCCCAAAAACATCTAATTATCACCAAATTAAAACCCCTAAAAACCCAAACGAGAAGGCAAGAAGAAGAATATATATAGCTAACGTGTCCTGACACCTCTAGCTAGGATTTTCTCATTTTGAAGTGCAGAAACTAGCAAACTTACTTGTTGGGTGGAGCAGTTTCTTGGCCATGGCTTTTTTTATCATTTGAAGACACAGTACTAGAATTTTCCCTTGATGATCCTGCAGACTCTTCATTCATGTCAGGCAATGATCTTTTGTTGCTCTTAGAACCATTTGAAGTAGGTGTTTGCTTCTCCAACAGCTGTTGTGTGGCCGTGCCCGGTAGGCCTAATCTGAGCTCTGTTGCCTCAAGGTTAAGATCTCTCTCAAATGCCATACTTTTGTTTTCTTTGTTCAACAATCTTGAATGTAAACTGAACCTGGTTCCTCTTCCAAAGTGCTAGCTAGGCAGATTAACTCTTCTGAATTTCCTGTGTGGTTGTCATGCACTTTGAGAGGGTTGAAGCAAATGCATACCTATTTTATAGATGCAACTTGGCAATTGAAATTAAAGGCAAAGGACAGTCTTGTATGGGAAAAGAAAAACAGCATCATCTTCGTCCCTCATGGCGCGTGAGTAACAAATTTAGTAGAGTATACGTTTTTCTACTTTTAGCAAATTAATAGAACTGCTTATATTTGAATTTAATTCCAGCTCTTATTTCATGGTTAATACGTCTTTTTAATTGAAATTAAAGGCATAGTGCCTGATCTGGTTAGAAGAAATTAGGTTATTAAGGATCAATTCAAAATGAAAATGCCTCATCATAATTTTTTTTATTTGTCAGGAGGCCATTTGAATTTTGAACTACATAATAGACGTTAAATATTTCTTATTATATAATAATTAAATAAATTAGAGTAAATAGTACTCAAACCTATATTTTATTGAAGAAAAGAAAGCTTTTTGATACACAACCATTAAATTGTGTCTACTTTCGTATATCTTTTTATAAATAAAATATGCAAATCATTGTACATCTTGACTATCATACAATGTATATTTTAATAATAAAATATGTTTTGCAATTTTACAATTATTTTCTTAAAAATTGAAATACTAATACTTTAGATTTAATTATGTTTAGTAACGATGGCTTATGTGTCCTATAATAAATAAGCAATAATAGAAATACATATTTCATCGACGATTGATCGGTGTCGCATGCTTATCATTCCAAAATGTGTAAAATTTAATAAAAATTGATACATTTTTACAAATTTATCATTGTATATCGACAACTTATTGTTCGTAGTTAATGTCCATCGTTATATATATATATCTAAATAAACAATTAAATGCGTTTCTAACATATTATTTTTATTTTAATAAATTTACAAAACGTTGTTAAGGAACAATGGGAGATGAGAATACTTTGTTAAAATTAGATATTTTACAAAAAAATCTAAAAGATGTGGAGTACTTAATGTCTTAGATATTACGCAATGTATATTTCAATAATAAAATGCACATTGCAATTTGACAAGAATTTTACTTGGAGTAGATTAATTACGTAAATGTGATGATTCAGGTTCAAAAACCAATAAGCAACAATTCAGAAACCACTCAACTCTTTATTATATATATATATATATAATGAAATCAAGATGTTTCTATTAATATTTTAAGACACATATTGAGGGGGTTTTTTTTTTTTTCAAGAATTTTGATTGGGAAATGTACTACACACACCCTAAAGAGAGAGTGGATTAAGAACATTGGGAAAGGAATCTCAAAGCACAAATTTGGACAAGGGCAGCTAATTGTGTTTGTCACTTGAACAGCAAAATAGAGAAAGTTGTCAATACAATTTGGGGACAAGGTTGGGACAAAGCTGAGCCGCCCACATTGAATACCGTGACCCTCGAACGAACGGTCAAGATGCATCCATGGATTCCGCGGGAAGAAATGAGGAGCATTGGATCATCAAGAGAGGAGGTTGGGTGCAGCCCATGTGAGTTGGGCCCACGTGGGTTGTCGTTGATGGGCAAGGCATGGTGCGTGGGAAAGACCCTAGGGCTTTTAATTTGGTCATTAGATTTGAGGGAATTCAAGTTATTGCATCTTCTCATGTACATGTGGTCATGGTCAAGCCCCATCAGCCGTCGCCTTGCATCAAGGACTAAGGACTGCTTCCCTCGTATTTATGCAACTTTTGAAATACCATAACTCACTTACCCACCAACCAGATCAAATTAAAAATTAAAAAAAAAAACACAAAAAAAAAAAGCAGACTGCCCTTTCTTAAAATGTTATTTCGGATGACCAAAATAAATAATTATGTTGGCATTTTCATGGGAGATGTGTAGTTAATTCTTTGGCAAATGTTGAAGTAAAATCCCAAGTTAAAATCGAAGAAAGCCTACTTTTATTGCATTTGAAAAAATGCCAAACTATTGTTTGATTTTTATTATTATTTAATTTTGAGATTGATGATAGGACTTAAAAAAGAGACAACTTTTCAAATTACTTGTAAAGATGTCATTTTCTCTCTTAATCGTGTACCTTTTTTTTTTTTTTAAGAAGTGAAATTGCAACAACCATTACGTGATAAACTAGACAACTATAATTATTGTAATCAATAATTCTGATTACTCATACTGTATTTTACCATGTTTCCTGATCTAGCTAGCCTACCCCATTTAATCCCCTCTAAAACGGCCTTTTTAGTAGGGTAGAGCAATGTCAAGTTGCGAAGCAAATCTAAAATAATTGTGATTTGGATAAGATTTAACTTATGCTCCATCGAAATAATCGTGATCGATGAAAAGCAACAGAAAAGTGTCTTGGCTACTTTAGGCCATAATTACTAAACTAATGTGGTGAAGGACGTTGTCAAAATTTCTTGTAAATACATCCACCAAAAGAAATTCACCAAATAGTTATGGAATTTAAAGACTGAATCAAATCCATCGTTGAATAAAAAGAAAATAACAATGAATTAGAGATAAAATAATGATTATATTTTAGCGATGGATATAAACTCGTTGCTAAATTTAACGGTAAAATCTTCTTGAATATTTTAGAAATGGTTCGAGTGATGGATTTAGTAGAAAAATAGTGACAAACATGTTATCGATCGCTAATTTCATTCCAAGGAAATAATGATGAAATATCCATAGCTAAATTACAATTCCTTTGAAATTTAGTGACGGTAAAATCCATCGGCAAAGGAGGAATTTTTGGACAAATTTTGGTGCTGAGCTTTTGAAAGAAAAACCACCAATTTTGTGATGAATTAGATACGGCTATCGATAAATTACAACGGATCGGCGACGGACACTTAATTCCATCTTTAAATTTTTTTAAAAAAATGTGTCCAACTATTTAAAATTAAGCGACCATTTAGACATGGATTAGCGACGAACACTCGTTTAGCATCGCAATTTGTAGGTAGCCATCCCTAAATTGTTGCAAAATGTGAAATATTGGCGTCCAATTGTTCGAGCATTTGCGCCCATTTAGATATGGATTAGCGACAAATTTATTATCCCTCACTAATTAGCGATGGAATTACGTTCGTCGCTAAGTTCTAGACTAAATTTAACCCCTTTCTTCTTCCTCCTTCCTCGTTTTCTTCTCCCTCTCCAAAACCACCGACGGTCGGTGTTCTCCCACCATGCCCTAACACCATTAAACTTCACTCCTCCACTCTCAATCGATTCCCGACCACTCCAAAGTTTTTCTCTTCAAAAAACTTTCCTTTTTTCTTCCCTCCTTTTGGTGTAATTCCATCCGCATTAGGTATTTTTTTTTCTTTCGTTTTTATCTTAATTAAAGTTAGTAATTTGTTATAATTGTCAAGTTAATTTATGTTTAATTATTGAATTTATGATTGTGTATAGGTTTAAGTGGTACTTTATTGATTTATTTCTTAAATTATTAATTTTTGTTAATTGTTAGGTTCCTTGGTTGATTAATTTGTTAAATTTAGTTAATTAATTATAATTTCAATTAAATTAGAATTATTTTTAATTAATTAGGTTAATTTTATTTAAATTTAGTTAATTAATTAGGTTAATTATATGTTTATTTGGTTGAATTAGACTAAATTTATTTATTAATTATAATTCTTTTAGTTAATTTTTTAATTAGTCTTAATTAAGTTAATTTAATTGTTAATTTAAATTTAATTTGATTTGTATTAGAATTAATTAAGTCAATTAGATTTTAAATTAATTAATTATTTTAATTATTTTTAATTGGTTGAATTATAAGTTTATTTATATTAGAAATTACTAATTTAAATTTGATTTGGTTAGAATTAAAATCAATTAAGTTAATTATATTTATAATATATTAATTAGGATAATTATGTTTAATTAGTTGAGTTATAAGTTTATTTATAATAGAAATTGTTAATTAATTGTTAATTTAAATTTAATTTGATTAGAATTAGAATTAATTAAGTTAATTAGATTTATATTTAACTAATGAATTATGTTAATTATGTTTAATTAGTTGAATTATAAGTTTAATTATGTATGTTAGAAATTACTAATTTAAATTTAATTTGATTCAAATTAGACTTAATTAAGTTAATTTGAATTTTAATTAAGTAATTCATTAGGTTAATTTTGTTTAATAGGTTGAATTAAAAATTTATTTACATTAGGAATTGTTAAATTAGGTTAGATTTAGAATTGATTATGTTAAATTTTTTTAATTTGTTGGTTCATAATCAATTTTTCAATTAATTGTAATTTTGTTAATTAATATAATATAATTTTTATTTTAGATTTAATTTGATTAGAATTGTAATTAATTAAGTTAATTTGATTTATGTTTAGTTAGTTAATTAATTAGGTTAATTTTGTTAAATTAGTTGAAATATAAATTTATTTATAATAATAATTGTTAATTTATTGTTATTTTAAATTTAATTAGTTTAGTTATTTTGTATGTAATTTTTAAAGTGTGCTTGAGATTCGCCAGTTGTGTAACAAACCTTAGGGGTTTAAGAGGAATTAAGGAGAAATAAAGTTGGTTTAATGCTTTAAGATGGAATTGGGAGGAAGGTTTTGTAATTTAATTTCGATGAAGTATCCGAGACAATTGTTAGTCTCATTATGCGTAATGCTTGTGTGATTATTTGGAGTATTTGTTAATTCAAAAATATGCAATTTACAACAAAAAAAAAAAAAAAAAAGCCAAAATTTTATTAGATATTTAGAAAAATTATTAATTAGATAATTTTATGTTACCTAAAAAATGTAGAAACAAAATAACGAGATTCGATTGTGGATATATGTTAGGTGTATAGACGAGTATTTAAAAAATAATTTTGTTAATGGAGTTGAAGAATTTACCGCATTTACTATTACTTATTTTGAATG